TGTGACTCTAGGTGGGACAGGCTGAGTCTTCTTCAGGTGTGACTCTAGGTGGGACAAGTGAGTCTTCTTCAGGTGTGACTCTAGGTGGGACAAGTGAGTCTTCTTCAGGTGTGACTCTAGGTGGAACAGGTTGGCTCTTCTGCAGGTGTGACTCTAGGTGGGACAGGTTGACTCTTCTTCAGGTGTGACTCTAGGTGTGACAGGTGAGTCTTCTTCAGGTGTGTCCCTAGGTGTGACAGGTGAGTCTTCAGGTGTGACTTTTTCAAGCATCCTTGCAGAAGTGGAGTTTTGAAGTGTAGGCGGGGAGGGGAGCTTTAAGTGTAGTTAGCTGGCTGGAGTCCATTTCTTAACGAGTCGTTAATTAAAGCGCCCCTGAATTCTAAATCTAGGGGCGACAGCAAACCCTCGTGATTCCACGACGTGGCTGGCAGCTGGCTGGAGTCCATTTCTTAACGAGTCGTTAATTACCACCGCGAGGCCGGGAGCTCGGCGCCTGCTCTGAGCTGGCCGGAGGTCTCTCGGAGGGAGTGCGCTTGCTTATGTGCGCTAATCACCTACAGCTCCCGAACATACACACCCCCACCTCTGCCAGTGCTGACAGAAGCACCCAGGAGGGGTACTGGGAAGTGTGGCTGTGTGCGTGAGGGGTGTATCTGAAGAAGTGGCCACCCCCACCCCCCCCCAGCTGACTGAAACTAATCCCTGGAAGAAAGGAGACTCTCAAGATCTGCACCTGCACCCCCTACGTCCGCGCCACGTCCTCCTGTCCCCCCAGTCAGGTCTCCCTCCCCGACACAGCTAGGGATCTCTGCAGGCACCCCCCTACTCCTCCAACTCCACCTGCCCCTCCATCCCAAAGAAACAACCCCCCCCTCCCCCCATCCCCGCCCTCTAAAAAAACCGCGCGCTCAACAGAACCCCCCAAAAAACTAAACGCCACACAGCTACAGCAGACATAAAAATGGCTTGCCCCCTGTTTATAGGGGGGAGAAAGTACGAGTGACCAAAAAGTGTCCTGTGCAACGAAAAACAGATCAGACACTCAACCCGGAAAGGGGGGTGTTTGTGTGTGTGTGTTGGGGGG